AAGGATTATAGGGAGCTCTGTGTGCTATTTGGGAAATGCAAGTGTTGAACATGAGTTCATTTAAAGTGACTTTTTGGTGACCAGACTGGGTTTTTCAGATTGCAACACCACCCTGAGACTGGCCTGTGTGGGTCGTGGTTTCAGTAGGGTTACATGAGCATCATCTTATTTCATCTGCTTAACAAACCCATGAAATGACAAGTTATTTCCTTTTCTCAGAGTAAGAAAAGGAGGCTGATATAGTCTAAGTAACTGTAAAGTTATATAGCTAATAAATGGTAGAGCTGCAACTCAAATTTAGGTCTTTCAGTCTCCAAAGTATTATACAAGGTCTTAATCCCCAGTCAGGGCACATATAGGAATCAACTGATGAATGCATAAATAAGTAGAACGACAAATGAATCGTTCTGTCTCTCCCCCTTCCTCTCTCACTCTCTAAATTTAAAAAAAAAAAAAAGAGTACAATACTCAGGATGAGATTTAACAAAAGGAGTATAAGACTTGTCACTAAAAATGAAAAAAGAGTGAAAGAAATTATTAAAGATCTAAATAAATGAAAAGGCCTAGGTTCATAGATCAGAAGACTTAATATTTTTAAGATGGAAATGCTTCCCAAATTAATCTGGAGGTAGACATGATTTCTATTGAAACCCTGCAAGATTTTTTTTCAGAGATTAAAAAGATAATCCTAAAAATCTGATGTAAATGCAAGGGATCCAGAAAAACCAAACAATCTTGGAAAAAAACAAAGTTGATGGATTTATAATTCCCAATTTCTAAACTTGTTTTGAAGATACAGTAAACAAAACAGTGTGGTATGGCACAACAACAGATATCTGGGTCAATGGAATAGAATAGAGTTCAGAAATACCAATAGTCTTTATGGTCAGTTGACTTTTGATGAAAGGGTCAAGACAATTCAATGCAGGAGAGAATATATCATTTTTAAAATAAGCTTTTAGTTTTAGAATAGTTTTAGCTGTACAGAATTATTGTAAGAATAGTCTTTTCAACAAGTGGTTTTGGGACAACTGTATATCCACGTTATAAAAATAATCTGGACTCCTAATATACACCATAAAAATTAACTTAAAGCAGATCACAGACCTAAATGTAAGAATTAAAACTATAAATCTGTTAGAAGAAAACTCAGGTGTAAATCTTTATGACCTTGGGTTAGAAAATGGTTTTTCAGATGTGACACTAAAAACACAAGCAAGAAAAAAAGATTGATAAGTTAGACTTCACCAAAATTAAAACTTTTCTCCTTCAAAAAATACCATAAAGTGAAGCGACAGCCCAAAGTCATGAAGATAATATTTATAAAGCATCTATTTACATCTGGAATATATAAAGAATCCCTACAACTCAAAAAATAAAAAGACAAAAAGTCCAATTTAAAAGTAGACAAAGGATGTGAATAGACAATCCAATGAAGAAGACATCAAAATGGACTAGTTCATGAAAAGATGCTCAGTCAAGGTCAAAGTGAGATGCACCCACTAGGAGGGCTAGACTCAAAAAGCTAGACAGTAAGAGTGTTGGTGAGGAGTGGCGGGTGAAGAGATGGGTGAAAAATGTAAAGAGGAATAAAAGGCACAAAATTCCAGTTGTAAAGTAAATAAGTCACAGGAATGTAATGTACAATGCAGGGAAAGTCGGCCATAATATGTGACAACTTTGTAAGGTACAGATGGTTACTAGACTTACTGCAGGGAGTAAGATATATCACAAGGCATATAAATGTCAAACCACTATGTGGTACACCTGAAACTAACATAATTTTGAATGTTCACTATACTTTAATAAAAAATATATATTTTTAAAAAGAGTGTTGGTAAGAATGTGGAAAAATCAGAACTCTCAGTCAATGGGGCAGAACCTTGGGAAACAGTTTGTCAGCCCCTCAAAATGTGAAACAGAGTTACCTAATGACCCAGCAATTCTGCTCCTTGATATCTACCCAGGAAACGTCAAAACCTATGTCCACACAAATACCTGTACTCAAACGTTTATGGCAAAATTATTTATAATGGCCCAAAATGAAAACAAATGTTTATCGATCAATGTATGGATAAACAAAATGTGGTATATACACACACATTATTTGGGCATAAAAAGAAATGAAGTACTGATGTCTTCTACAACATGAAAGAACTTGGGAAACATTATGCCAAGTGAAAGTAGACAGATGTAAAAAGACCATATTGTGTGATTCCACTGATGTGAAATGTCCAGAATATCTTTGTCCAGAGGCAAATCTATAGAGACAGAAAGAAGATTAATGTTTGCTCAGGGCCAAGAGTGGGGGCAAAGGAGGCATGGCTGATAGTGGGTGTAAGGTTTCTTTTGGGGGGTGATAAAAATGTTCTAAAGTTAGACTACAGGTCACACAATTCTGTAAATACATATACTAAAGCCCATTGAATGGCACACTTTAAGTGGGTTAATTTTATGGTATGAAAATTATATCTTAGTAAATTGGGGGGTTTTTTTTAGTGAATAAGTTGAGAGAAATTGGAGGGAGCAAGTATAAACAGGTCTTCAAGGGATTCCTTGAACCTGTAAATGTTTTATTTTCTTTTTTATAATGATCAGAATAACTGCCTTATCGTAACAAAGGAGATGGGCTCTCAGGTGGAGCGGAGTTAAGCGTTTCACTGCTCCCTTCTCTGCGCTCCGAGTCCGAGTCCGTGTCCCGCCCATCTCTCTGGTTTCCAGCCTCTGCTAGAACCAACCCCAGGACATACAACCCAGTGTCTGTGTCTCACTCCAGATTTTACTCGTCATTTCTTCTTTCCTTTTTCCTTCCCTCTACATTATCCTGGTCCCACAGGAGAGGCTGCAAAGACAATCCGCCTCTGTTTACCCCATTAGAGAAATAAATACCTCTGTGTGTGAAGCAAGCGAGGCCCCTGGCCTTTGAGAAAACAGAGCAGGGAGGTGCCCAGAGGTATTTTCTGCTGAGAAAGAAGAAGAGAATAAACAAGCCTGACACCAGAAATGCCTGGAACTTAAAGCGCTTTCCTCGGCCGAGTCAGACTCAGTCGACAGTGACTCGGATCAGTGGCTGCTGCTCCCTTGATTAAAGGCTGTGACTTTCTGTCTCCTGAAAGTCACCTCTGCTGATTCCACCTGCTTGAGAGTCAGGCCTCACAGCACACGTTTCAGTCCTCAGAGCGGCCACTAACAGAGCTCCCAGCACAAGGGAACTTCACTGATTTCCTGAGCCACGGAGAGGGGTCCAGTGACCAGACATCTGCCCCACAGTGGAAGGAAAGCTATGGAGTGACATTACTGAGGCCACCAACACCTCCTTATCCCCTTCCATAAGGGGCTGGAAATTCCTGGCTTTTCTGTCCCCTGGAATGAGGAATTTACCCCAGGAGAATTGTGGAAAAGTACAAACCACAGAATCATAACCCACAGAGGGAGAAGGTGCCTCCGAAATGACCCTTATCCTGGGCTGAAAAGCAAAGGTTCTCTTCTTGCCACCCCTCCTCACCTTGGCTTGAGCAGAGCCACTGATGGCACTCTCAGTCAGCCCCAGGAAGGCGGCAGTACAGTGCTGAGGACAGTAACTAGCACTGTCAGGCCCAGCTGCATTCCCTGTCACTTCCAACCCCTCCTTGCACTTTGAAACAATGCCGTAGTCCCAACTCTTTCTCAAGTTCTCAGTCTTTGAGAGCACTATCGTGCCGTCTCTTTGCCTGCCCCGGACTTGTGCCTCCAGCTGCAAACACACTCTCACCCACACCTCTGACGTAACTTTGTCCACCGCAGTCTCGGATTGCGCATCCACCGCACACCACCAGACCTCCCTTGTTCTGTCTTCCTGTGGGAACTTCTCACCCCCCCTGGGACCTGAAGGCAGATTTTCCACCTGGTCACAGTGTGCATCCCACCAACTCTCAGACCTGCTGTTGACCAAGAGGGCATGAGGCCTACTACCCTAGACAGATCATCCCTGATGGCTCCACTATTTATTGTAGAATTTGGTTTCAAGCCCCATCATAAGCCTGCACTCCCTCAGCTGGACAGGCTGCCCTTGGTCAGTATTCATTCACTCACTACAGCCACTGAGCATAGCCATAAAGAGCACAGGATTTGCGATCCAACGATCCAGACCCCGCCACCAACTCTGCTGCAAGACTGCCGAGGAGTGTTGCACTCTCTGAGCACAGCTGTTCTCATCTAGAGAATGGGGAGTAATAACAGTGCATACCCCATAGCTTTGTCATGATAATAAATGAAATAATCTTTATGAACCAACCACTCAGTGCAGAAACTTGAATATTCACTGGAACTATTTAGTATATGCTCTCTACTGTTTTATTTTAAAATAATCATTTGTTCATTCCTCATGTACTTACTGAGCCCCACACAGGGCCCTGGGGCCCTGGGGCGTAGTTATATAACTACGCCTCTTCGAGAGCTGTGCCTTCTTAAGTCCAGGGAGTACAAGCTCACCCTGGCACCCGGCGCACAGAGAACTGAAGCCGAGGACCTTCGCACAAAAGCAGATGAGAATAGACACTGACGGCTGGTTACTGCCCACAGAGGGTGACGTGAATGTCTTCGACATTTCCACACCTCTTTTAATCCCACTGCAAGCCCCTGGGTGAGGGAGCACCATGAGGACGAGGGGGGGACGAGAAATCCCCAGAGAAACACGCTCCCCTGCTTCCCTCCTTCACAGAGAGCGGCCATGCCTCTGCAGTGCAGGAGGGTGACATTCCTTGGGGAGGCCTGGCTGAATCTGCCTGGGACTGTTCCGGAAGTAGGAAGGATGGCCGGGGGTGGGGGAGCGGCTGGAATGTTCTGGCCTGCTGCTCACTACAGGCGAGTGTGCCGAGAGGAGGGCCCTGGACATCAAAGGTTCCTTTTGTCCCCTTCCGAGTGGCAGGGCAGCCCGGCCTCTGGTGATGACTCAGGCCTGGCCCTGACGTCACCCAGGCCCGGCCACTGGCTCCCTCTGCAGCCAGGAAACTGACTGGGGAGTGGCACTCGCAGCTGCAGCAAATCTCAAAATAAGGAGGCCACTGCCTCTCTCCTCCTCCTCTCCATCTCCCCACAGCACACCTTTCTATTCTCTTCTTCTTCTTTTTTCTTTTCTTTAAGACTCATGGAAGGTTTTACTTGTATATCAACTTTCAAACTGTAAGAAGTCAGAATGGGTGACATCATCAGAAAACTATGTGGAGCTGATTTCGAGGAGAAGTGAAGAGCCCAGAGCAAGAAAGCGGTTATAACTCCTGAACCCGGGGAGTTGGCAGCGTGTGGGTTTTGGAAGAGCCAGCGCCTCCGAGTAAGTGAAGGCCCTCCCTGGGCCCCCTCATTCTGTGCCCTTCTCGGTGGGGCGCCATCTTGTTCCCTGACACCTAGGGCTTGGCAGGCCCCAACCCGGGGGGGGGGAGTGGGAGGCAGGGAGAGTTGGGGCTGCATTTGGAAGACCCTCCAAATACAGCTCCAAATACAGCTTCTGATCGCTCTCTCCTCCACAGGCCCAGAAAAGAACGCATTTCCTCTAAAAAATATGGATATGACTAAGGCTCAAACCCTGGGGGAAACAGCCCAAGTCGAGCCTTCCCCCCGTCACCCTCTTGTTTTGTCTCCTCTTCCTCCTTCCGCTCTAGTGCTGTTTTGGACTGCCAGAATGTTTGTTCCGAGTTCTGAACTCTTTGCTTCCTGGATCTTATACTGCGTAATCAGATACAAAAGCAAACCCTGTTTTAAGCAAAATACGTGCCCTGTGCCTTCAAATGATATTTTCACATTTAACCTGGTAAAAGATGGCAGCTCCAGTAAGAAAAGATTCACAACCTGCTGCCTTTTACAGAGTGTGTTTCTGGTTGTCTCTGGTTGTCGTGGTGCGGGTGCCTCCACTGCCACATCACCCTGCTTACAGAGAGCTTATTTTCATTCCCTCTTGTGCCATCTGGGATGATACTAAACACAAAGACAAGTTAATGTATCTCTGGTGTCTGTTTTAACTTCACCTATAAAAATATCTGAAGTCTTTGCATAGCCTATAATTTTACAAGCTCTGGAAATTCCTACCCAAGAAAGTTAACTTCCCAAGAGAAAAGTTTTAACGTATGTGTAAGAACTACAGAGCGCATAGGCATAGAGATCGTACCCAGTTTTCCTGGCTTCCGAAGTCATTCCCTGGGCCAGCATCTAGTCTTTGAATAGCTTACGGACCCAGTAGAATTGTTCTTTTTAAATTCTGTTTTGTAATGATTGGCGGGGAGGGGGGTATATTAAAAATGAATCTTATTTTCAAGGCAATGGGGAAGTTTGTCATTTACTGCAAGAGAGTGGTGAATTCCTTTGTAAACTGGCAATACCCTTCAGAAATGAACCGTCACACTCTAATATATCTGTTTTGTACGTCTTACATTTTACTTTTTGTTTTAATTTATCAGGTTGTCTTGAAGTGAGGCTTTGCTAAACTGTTCATCTGCCTGCAAGATCTGAATGCTGTGACCACTAATTTGGTGAGTGTCATTTGTCCCTAAGGGCTGCCTAAGTTTAAGTTTGCTAATTCTGTTCTTTTGGTTTGCAGTAAGATTTAAGAAAAAGGGAGAAGGCTTGGGGACTTCCGCACACAATGGCAACAGAAGGATGTGTACTAGTTAGAAGAGGCTACTAGCTATAATAAACCGAAAAATGTGTAATGGCTCAAATAGAACTTTATTTCCTGCTTATGTGACAGTGCAGGTTAGTGGGGCAACTCCGCACACACATTCGGAGACACAGACCGAGAGAAGCTCCACCTTCTGCACCGCATGGTTTTCAAGGTCATCTGGGACTGTTTCCACTTCGCAGGAGAAGAGGGAAAGAATGTGAAAAGTGCACATGGAAAGTTTTCACAGACCATGCGCAAAAGTGCTGCCCTTTGCTTCAGCTCACGTTTGATTGACTAAAACTCTATCACGTGACCACATCTGACTGCAAAGAGGTCTGGGCAATGTAGTCCCTGGGTGGGGTGTGTTACACTGGAGAGTTTCTAGAGAAGAGGTAGTGCTCTCTGGCCCATCATAATAAGGAATTTAAGAGATGCTCACAGATAAGATAGCAGAATGAAGCAGGGAGAGAAGTAAAAAAGTTATCAGACAGAATTCCTTAACTGACAATCTTAAGTAACATCTGGCTATGTGGACAAGGAGCAGTGGGTAAGATTTTTCAAGAGGCCTCTGTCCATTCTGACCCATGAGCACTACCATGCTGCCAATGGCTAGTGAGCCAGCAAGGACATTCTTCTTATTTTTCCCTATAGGGTTCTCTTGGGGTACCGTCATTCTGGTTCTGTTTCCTGGTCCTGGCTCTAGTCATGCTAGCTGGAATTGTCCAACAGAACTCTGGTCCCCTGACTTTGAGCCCCAGTGGGCTATAGAAAAGCTCATGGTCTCTTTAGCTCATGCTTCTGTCTGTTCCTGGGGGCTCCGGGGAGCTACCCTGCCTGACCTACTGCAGATCTCAGCATCCTCTTCCATACTGTCGTGGGGGCTGGGGTGTAGGGAAAGGGAGGGGCGGGAATCCCTGACTAGGATAGGATCTTCAAACCAAGTTATTAGAGAAACATTTAAAAGTAGACTAAAGTGGCTCAGTTGGTTAGAACACTGTGCCGAAAGGCCAAGGTTGTGGGTTCAATCCCCAGTCAGAGCACAAACAAGAATCAACCAATGAATGTGTAAATAAGTGGAACAGCAAAAATGTGTGTGTGTCCCTTTCTCTTTCTCTAAAAATCAAGAAATAAAAACATTTATTTAAAGACTAAAAAGGCTCAATCTGGGGAGATTATTGCTACTCTAAGGATTTGATATATAATTCTAGCTTTTTCTTTTCCAGAAAAGTTTTGAAACATTTACTGAAACATTGAGTGGTTAAGTTATAAATCTTCTTTGGAGAACTCTGAAACTAAGTTTATGTTTTATTTAGCCTTTTCAGTATTATTGGTCTTAGTGCAGTATTCCCCTCACTGGTAAATATCAAAAGTCACATGGCAGGGGCCTCACGGTGCCCCTAAGGTGTCACAAAGACCTCCAGTAAAGATGGACTGTAGCGCTGGCTGGTGTGGCTCAGTGGATTGAGCACCAAACTGCAAAGCAAAAGGTCACCAGTTCAATTCCCGGTCAGGGCACAGGTTTGGGTCTTGGGCCAGGTCCCCAGTAGGGGATGCGCAAGAGACAACCACACATTGATGTTTTTCTCCCTCCCTTCCCCTCTCTCTAAAAAAAAATAATAAATGAAATATATTTTTAAAGGATGGTAGATGCTCGCTTTAGCAGCACACACACTAAAAGTAGGCGGCAGTCTTTGCCTGAGTGGCCCGGTACCTGGCCCTCTGGTTGTGTTGTCAGTGCCTGGCTAGACACTCTAGTTTCTCACTGAATTTTGCCCTGGACTGGACATCTCTGGCACCCACAGCTACACCCTGAAGAATACACATTGTCCATTGTGCAGGAAGGTCAGCTACTAGTTGATCTGACACAGCCTCCCAGGCCCTCGCAGAGCCTGATGCCTGGTCTCCAATTACTGCTGCATGGCCTTGGCCCAGTCCCCTCCCATCCAGATTGAGCTAAGGAGGAAAGGAACAGAATAACAAGCTGATATGGTACAAAAATGCTACAGCCTCTGAAAGTCCATCTTCTTGGATTGGTGGGTCCTGAAAATGTTTACTGGGCCTGGAGGGGGCTGGGCTAGCAGAGTCAGCCAACGATAAGACCAGGTTAATGGGAGAATGCAATGCCTGCTAGGTGGGTGCAGCCAAAGGAGTAAGTTGAGAACAAGTACCAGGTTTCAGAAGCTGGAGCCAGGTGGAGGTGATCTGTTGTTGAAAGTCGCTGCCTACCAGAGTCCACCAGGAAAGGTAGGGTCAAAGGCCGCAGTCAAGGAGGAAAAGTGTCAGGGTCCACTCGTCTTTTTAATTCAGCTGCCACGTGATCATGGCCCCTCCGAGCCCTTAGTGTACAGGCACTGACTACGAGCGTGTGCCTGGAGCAGGTGGGGTGGCGTCGACCTCCCGCTTCCTGACGTTTATCTGAACAGCACGGTGAGAAGAGGTGTGCAACTGCCGAACCAGACTCCCACTGCTGTCGGTGCGACCCCTCCGCAGTGCTGGGACAGCGTGCCAGGTGACGTGCAGACACACCAACGAGACAGGCTCACAGATACTGTATGCGCTTTGTGACCATTTGATCTTCGACATTTTCAAAAAAGCCTCAGAGTTGACGCTTTGGGAAAAGTTAGATTTTCTTGAGCATCCTTAATTTTAACTTCATTATTTTAAAACTTTTAATTTCACATGAGTTCAAATTTGGGCACCTTTGTCTTTCCAGAGCCTTGGTGTTCAAGGAGCCTAGCCTAGACCTGTGGTTCCTGCTGAGCAGAGTGGGCTGAGCCCAGCAGGCTGAGAGAGGCAGTGCCTCCAGACCAGTGGGTTCTTGTTTCACCCCCCAAGGTCCTACAGATTTTATAGCACAGAGGTGCAAGCCCCCTTCTCACCGCTATCAGCAGTATAAAAGTTCTATTTCTCCCTTTAGAGAATTTTGTGATAAGGCCATGTTATCGTCACTAAAGCTGAGAGTTCATGATAATAGGGCCTCGTAATTTCTCATGCTGAAATCCCCTGATTTCTTGTCAAGAATGAAGTTGGAAAACACCACACTGAGACTTCAGGGTTTTGTTTTTAACTCAAAAGCCTCTGGTTTTTGTCAGAAATTTAAAGCTTCCTCCCACCTCTGAAATGTTTTTTTTTTTTTAATCCTTACCCAGGACATTTTTTTTTCCATTGCTTTTAGAGAGAGAGGAAGGGAGAGAAAGGGAGAAACATCAGTCTGAAAGAGAAGCATTAACCAGTTGCCTCCTGTACGCAGCCAGAACAGGGATAGAACCCGCAACGGGGTATGTGCCCGGACCGGAAGTTGGGTCTGCAACCCTTTGGTCACAGGACGGCACTCCGCCCAACTGAGTCACACCAGCCAGGGCGAAACAATAATTTTTTTAAAATGTAAAATGGAGAGTCTGTCAGAATAAATAAGGTAATTAATATGAAACGGTTTGGGCAACTTAGAAAAATGCATGGCAAGTCAAGGTGTTAATGAATGTAATTACTATAATCATGGTCAGCACTGGTGTTTTGGCTTTTGATATTGCTATTAATATTGTAAATATCATTATTTTAATTTTTTTGTTTTTGCCTTTCTAAATTGACTTTCCACTGAGACCTTTAGCACCGCCCCTTCACTAGCCAAAGCATGTAGTGTAAAAATTTCAAGAACACCTAGGAAGGTTTGTCTATGGGCCAGAGAATTAACCACAAGGCTTCTAATCTCTCTCAGAGAGGCTTGACCCAGGATTCACTGAAATCTGTGAGGATGGATTTGAGCCATCTCTCTGTCAAAAAAAAATTTTTTTTGCTTCCTGGCATTCTCTGGAGCTCCCAGCGCATTGGCCAAAGGAGGCTGTGAAACCATCCCCCGGAAGCCTTGACCCTGGGTGGTGTCCCTCAGGCTGGACTGCAGCCCGCCACCTGCCCGAAGCCTCCAGTCATGACTGAGGTCTGTCTGCTCTGTGTTATAGGGTTGGTTGGGGGGGTATAGACAGAGGCAGCGAACATGAGCTCAACCCAAGAGCAATGAAGATGTCGTTTCCACTGTGAGCCGCCCTCCCTGTCCCAGGTCCTGTAGTCTTTCATGTTTGAATGTAGCAGGAAAGTAGAATCTAGTGAAAAGGACTTTCTCCTTGACCCCAATTCCTTGGCGTTGACTATACCATGGTACTTTGCAAATGAGAATGTAGCTCAAAATTCATCCCCGACACTGGACTCTGTCACGCAAGTCCTCCTGCAGCAGCCAGGCCACGGCTGGGCCGGACTCCTGAGAGTTTTCATTCCCTGTGAGGCAAATTCCTTGTCTTGTCATAACGAGTCACCACACAAAATCTGGAAAATACAGAAAGATATTGAGAAGAAAACAACAACCAAACAACAATTCAATATTGACATCTTAATATATTTCTTTTCAATTTTTCATAAATATATTTTCTTTTTAAAATTATTGAAATGACATTTTATATGCTTTCTCTCTCCCCTTGTCGTTGGTAAGTTGTAAACATTTTCCAAGTGACTAAATGGTCTGAACATTGGCTTTTTAATAACTGTGTTTCCATTGCACGGATGTCTCAATCATTCTATTGATGGCCATTTTGATTTGCCTCCAGTGTTCTGCTATTATAAATATGCAAACATCTTTAAAGATAAATTTTTGTTCACATCTTAGGGAAAATTCCTAGAATTGAATTCAACAGATAAATGGCCTATTTTTAACGTTCCTAATGAATTTTGGTAAATTAGCCTCTAAAAAGTCACCAGCGTCTACTTCAAAACCCAGTGCCTCTTCAGTTTCTCGTGTTAAAATGCATGCTCCTGGGCTCCAGGGGCACCAGAAGCTCTGAGGACAGGGCCTGGGGACATGCAGTTTAACGTGGCCTCCTC